CGTAAGTAAAAAAATAACAGTGATGATATACATTGGAGACTCACTGATGAGATATAAAGAAGTACAACTCATGGGCCCCTGTAAGCAATTAAATGATGGTTATATTGTGGCTTTCCACCCTTGCCCTGATAAACATTACAGTGAATGCATATTTAAATATGCTAATCCATGCTTGCATAAATATACACATTCTTTATTGATGCATTTTTCTTAGCAGTACATTCATTATCTAAAATGTAGCAGCTTCATCATCTAAAAGAAAAAATGTATGGGAATCATTCATTCCATAAATAGCACAAATCAAAAATACTTATGAGGTATTATAATACAAATTGAAAGCAAATGAGATAACTGACTACACACACATGTATTTTATTGTGTATTCCTATTTAACACATCAGTCCTTCAAAGACATTTCTCTTAATACTGTGTTAAACTGACTTTGACTTAGTTTAATTAATATAGATACTATACTTTGAAGTGAGACTAATAATATTTATTTTAATTAATTTTACAATTGATTTTCAGGTGGGAACTTTGTTTCCCTTCAGCCCATGTTTGCATGTTGAGGGAAATAAGTAACACTTTTCTGCATTGCACCAGAAGGAAGGAGGAGTGGCTTGTACAATAGGTGACTTTACATTAAAGAATCAGCCACATGTGACTCAGCTCTTTCTTGATTCATCTTCCTACAAAAGACAATAGCAAATAAACCTGCAATGCAGCCATGAGATATGAGGCCTGACCTTGTAGCAGAAGTATCTTGTGGTTCATTTAAATGGCTAGTGCTGGGATTAGTAACTTGCAGGCTCACAGACCTAAAGCCACAGGTTTCAAACTTATTCACTGTACTTATGGTAATAATTAGATACCCTATCTATCTAGTGCCTTGGGTCTAGCTCACAATTAGATCCAAATTTGGGATTGGAAAAGAGAAAGTGCCTAAGTCCCCCACTTCCCAACTTAAACTCTTACTAAGTAAAATAATATTACTCTTACTAGACATGAAAAATACAAACATGATAGGATCCCTGCCCTCAGAAGGTTTATGATATAGTGGAAGAAACAAATACAATACCAAATTAAATACAATGTGTTTTAATTGAAGTATACAAAATTATGTAGGCGTCAGAAAATAAAAAACTGTGACTGGCAAAAGGAAGGGAAGGGTGGAGAGTGGATTAAGTAAGGTCTTGCAAAATATCTGAACTTGCCCTGAATTTTTGAAGAATGAGTAGAATTTTCTAGCAGACAAAAGATGAAAAAAGAAAAAAATTTTTTTAGAAATTTTAATGGGAATAAAAGTTGAAACATGAATACTATTACTAGAGCTTATTAGAAATTTAGTCAGGACAGAAGTGATAAGGGAACTGGAGAAGGGCTAAAATGAAGGTGAGGATCTACTTTGAAGAAATCATAGGGTTTACTGATTCACTGAATTTGAAGCAAAAATATCAATGCTTCCAGACTATGCAGTTAGTTATATGTCAAAGCCATAAAATGAGAAGAAATTTTAGGAAAGGAAGGCATTTGTTGTAAAGGAATTGAAAAGGAAATAATCTAGTAGTGTTGGACATTTTTATGAACTCAGTGTCTGTCACCCAGTTAGAAACTTGGGCCCAGTGTTCAGGAGGGAAGGTCTGGCATAGTGAGTCACAATAGAGAGCTGTCTTCATAGGTTTTAGAGACTTTGACAGAAATACAATGTAAGAGACAGCTTAGGTGGGATAAAAAGGGGAAACAGGGTGAAAGTAGGAAAATACCTATCATTATGAGATAGAGGAGGAAGAGAAACTTACAAAAGAGACAGGCATAAGAAAAAGAGGTACTCAAGGAAGCAGCGATTCAAGTGGCAGGGTGGTTAATGTAAACTGCTGCAACATGCTGAGAACAAGGTAATATGTAGGTAATGTAACACACAGAGGAATTTCTCCGTAGCAATAATGTAGTAGGGGTAGGAGTGAGACTCCAGGATTTACTGGAAGCTTGAAAAAAATGGAGGCAGTAAGTACAGACTAACCTTTTACAAGCCTTCAGTAAGGTTGTAATTGTTATGAAAGGTAATGAGAATAAAAAATATTCAAGATAAAGTAACTATTTTTCAGTGGCTCTAAAAATCAATGTTTTTAAACATTTAAGCAATAATTTGCTTAAAATCCTGGAGAAATTAATAGCATGCCTATAACACACCCCAAGGGCAGAATTAGTGTAATTTACAGAACTGTAGTAATCAACAGCATTTTTTTATTTATATAACCAACAAAATATAAAATAGAGGAGCTTTTAAACTTCCCTTCCAAACAATGCTTCTACAGATATGACTCAAAATACCTATGTTAACTTGAGCCATACATCTAATAAGAGAGAAGAGGAGGAGGATCTGAGGGTTTCCAGTTCCTTCAGGAAAAGGATGCTGCCTCTTTATCTTTCAAATCATCAGTAAAGTATAGTCTTGGATATTGAGTTTGTTTTGACAATTTCACCCTTTGTGCTAATATTAAACCATTTGTTTTAAAAGTTAGTGAGGAGGTTGGGGCTGTAGCTTAGTGGTAGAGCACTTGCCTAGCACATGTGAAGCACTGGGTTCTACCCTTAGCACCACATAAAAATAAGTAAATAAAATAAAGGCATGCTGTCCATCTATAACTACAAAAATAGAAAAGTTAGTGAGGATACTTCAAAAAATGGCCATTGAGTTGGTATAACAAAATTTAAATGGCAATCAAAATGAGTCAGAACCCTCAAATCATTGAAACTTAACACTTAATATTTCATAAGGATGTTACTATGTTAAAAATATAAAATTAATTTTGGCAAAGAGGTGACACTTATCCACTATGTAAATATTAGACATTAATACCACAAGTCTCATGATCAATCAGAGAAATTAAGCAGTTGGGAAAGTCCTATATAGCTTTCTTCCTATTCTCTGCACATCATGCCTAGGACTTTAACTGTTCTCCAAAAGGAAGAGTCTTGTTTTCAATACTGTTATGTTTTGCTTCAAAGCTTCTCATAGGTGCATGCACAAGAAGGCATTTGTAGTCCCAACTTTCCAAACCAATAAGCATTTATAATTTCTGTAATTTACTTGATGAAAATTTGTCTCATTTTTTTTTCATGGTGACAAAATGATCTGAACAAATTAAGAATCATTGATATTGTCTTTGATTTTTTAATGGAAAATTTCTTCTTATTCAATATAGAGAGTAAGTATATTTTCAATCCAATTTTTCCTCTTATATTAATGGTAATTATGCTCACTGGAACTTCATGTTAATCTATGTAATTAATATGTGTGGCCAGCTTAATGGTAGAGATTGACCCATTTCAAGGGCTATTATTTGAGAGGTTAAATTCAGCAACCTACAGATTTGTAAATTCTGTGGCTTCAATGAGGATACATATGCTAGATATGCTTCCCCATAAGAACAGACTCACACTTTCCAAATACAGTAGCCATAAGAAAGTAGCTAGTCCAAATTTGAGAGTACCATAAATACATCATACACTTAGCATGTATGACTTGTTATGAAAAAGGAATGCAAAATATTTCATTAATACTTTTATATTAGTGATATATTTAAATAACAGTACTTTTAATACACTAAGTTGAAGTGTTACTTTCACCTTTTCAACATGGGTACTAGCAAATTTGAAATACACCTGTGGTTTGCATTATATTTCTATCAGCACTGACCTAGATGATGGTGAAAATGTTAGATGTGTTTATAATCACAAGACTCCACTGGCCTGAGCAATTCTGCCCATGTTATAAGGCTAATAAGAAACATATAAATAATAATAGAAAAAATAGTAAGTTTTTTGCCACTACCCTTGTAATTATTGTGTGTGAGGGGGATATATGAAAAGAGAGAATGGTAAAACTACTTCAACTGTGATTTTAGGAGTTTATAGTCATTTCAACTAAAATTTCTATTATAAACGCAAAGGAATACAAAATAAAAAATAATTTCTCTCTATGATTAATTTTACAAATATGAATATTACAGAATAAAAGAAGGTTTTTTGTAAAATCTTATCAAGATGCTATAAAATAGAAATGAATATTTGTACCAATTTTTTAATACCAGAAATAAATTACTGATAGAGTACAAAAATTGTTAAGGAAAAACTTTAAGCACCATCTAAAGAATAAGTGGCTTTCATTAGCGTCACTAAATAATTTTTCTTCAGGATTTATAAAGAGGTAGCATGCAAATATCCTTTAAATGACTTCTAAATAAAAAAGATAGCAATTATAATCAAGACTACCAATTATAACTAAATTTACTGGAATAGAAAGTTCTATTACAATGGGAAAATGAGATACAATTAAAAGACAGTATAACACAATCACTGAGTGAGTCTGAATTAAAATCAGAATTATTATTACTCAAGCAATTAAAAATTTTTAAAAAGTACATGTGCATACATACATTATATATTGTATGTATTTATTTGGTAAGGCATCAAGAAATCTGATTAACATATGACTCCTCTTGTCAAAATATAATTTAATGCAAAATATGATATATATAAAAGAGCACATTGATTCAAAAATGAAGATAGATGCATAAGGGAAATTCCTATTTTGAGTTTATGGAAGACTGCTCTTAACTCATGGGAAGGTGATCCACCCCTGGAGAAATTGACTGGACCTTATAATAGTATCAGCATACTGAAGGATCCCTGAGTAGTATATAAATAAAAGGACTGAGGAGCAACAAAAGTAGAAAAGCAGCAGCCAGAAGCAATTACAAATTACATCACACCATTTTCAACATTCATAGAAATACGTGTATGGGCACTCTTAGTTGTATCCACATACGCGTATCTCTGTATAGACATGTGTAATAAGGGGGGGAGGAGATGTAGACAATTAGCACAGTGAACATGAATGAATAATCCTGTGAGACTCACATGAAACAAAACAAAGTGATTGAAAAAAAAATCACCAGTACAAATTATAAGAAATTAAGAAAGTCTTTATTTTATACCTTTCTCGTTCTGGTGAATGCAAACTAGTATCTGGTCTCAAGCAGTTGGTACTAGCACTCCTAGCCCTGTCAAGGGAGGGCTGCAGTTCACTAGTGCCAGTGCATTGCATCCAGTGGTAGAAGAGAAAGACAGAGAAAACAAAGAAAGGAAGACCATGTTAGAGAGTAAAGCATAAAATAATGTTCTCTTTACATAAAATGTAGAATCACTGTGATTCAGTTCATAAGGGTGTGAGATAGTTGATAGGATGACAGTGCAAAATTTTGTTTAGAAAATGAAACTAAACAAAGATTATGCTTAAATTGATTTGCATAATTTTAAAAGAGGATTTCAGACTGAAATATGACATTAAATCACACCTACTTATGAAAAAACTGGATACAGGAAGCACTAAAACAAAAATGCCTAAAATTTCATTACCAAGAACAAATGCCACACCAAAACAAAATGAAGGACATCAGAGGAGAAATAATCATACAGCTCAACTTTTTGGTTTCACAACGATAGACAAGTGAGTGGAAGGCAGCACTTCCAGATGTTCTTACCTAACCAATATCTCATCAGTAAATCTCAATACTCTTGAGTTAAAGCCTTCATGATGAAGGGGAATGTCCTGTCTAGTCACTGATTTGGTCTTAGAATATGCAGGCAGAATTGAGCTTCACAAATTAAAATTACACACAAATAAAACAAAATGAAATTAATTACTGTAATTAAAATCAACAAGTAAAACAATAAATAAATGACAAAGAAACAAACTAGAATTCTGACACGGGTGTTCAGATTTCATTTAGAGAATTATTCTATAATTAATGTTTTATAACTAAAACAATGTAGATATTATCAATGGTTCTCACTATATAATTTCAAAAGAGAATATTAATGCTTTATAAGAATGTAAACTTTCTAGTTTTAGTAGGCAAGGGATTAGAGATTAGTCTACAACTAGGGCTCACTTCTATGGCTCTTACCTGTAGATATCCCAGTGAGAGCCGTTCTGTAATAAAGGCATCTTGGGTGGTAATGTTTTACAGTGCCTAACAAGATGTCTGCAAAGTGGCAACACAAACATGCAGGGAACAGAAAAATATTTATAAAGCAAAATTTTACTAGGACATAAAGAAAGTAGGAGGCCAACAAAGTTATGTAGATGAATTTATTTTTTTCTGCAAAGAACCACAATAATTACTTGAAGCCAGGATCAAAATTAATAAAATGTGAAATTATAGATACCTGACTTTACCATACTCAAAACTATAATTGTCTTATTTAGAAAAATAACTGCTAGCTAAGTTCTATGAATTTTATTAACCAATCTTAAAATTATGGTTCCTTTATGAAAGTAAATATCTCATAGCTAAAAATACAAATCAAATAGTTTATGTAATTTGGGAGTTAAAATATAACTAAGAAAGTAAAAATTCTGTTTTAAAAACAAGCAAAGAATTGACCAGCATTACAGGAATAAGGCTGGACTTGGAACTGAGTTCAGTAAAACAAAGAAAAAGAAAAAGGCAACCAAGAAGTGACTGCCAAGGAAAAAGATTCATTTATCTGCTTCTGGATCCAAATCTAATTTACCACTGGAAATTGGGTGAGGTAGACATTTGATATAAATTCGAATTTGAATATTGAATTGGCATAAAATGGTAGAAACAAGGCACAACTTTGCCTGAATCCCCTAAAATATATCAGTGCTTCTGGACTATATAAGCCATGAAGGGCAATTCAGTCCATTAATTAATTTTTTGGTAAATAATAATGTTCTACAAAGTTAATTACTCATTATGAGTATTTAGGACCCACTTTAGTTTAAAGTATGATGAATAGGCAGGGAGTAAACATTTGCCAAGGACATACTAATTATCAAACACTGTCCTGGTTTAATTGTGGTTATGCCAATGGTCAAATCAGAGGGAACCCCTGAAAACTTCAGTTTGAAAATTTAGCAAAAGACCATTTTCAAGTACACACTACAGGAAAAGTTTATTGACACAAAGGATTCTACCAGTTTTACAGAGTGGTCTTTGCTAACCCTAATATTGGGCAAACATCTTTGTAATAGGTTGCTACAAAATTTTTCTAAGCAATTGTTTCAAAAGTTATTTTTTTTCAGGATCATTCTAATCAGAGATTGACATGGAATGAAAAACAGAATGGAAAATAGCACAAAATTTGTAGTCTGAATGCTTAATCTTTTATAAAAACATGAGCACAAACACCTTGACTTTGCCACTTACTAGCTCAGACTGGAAAAATTCAGGTCAAGACCCTAAGCTTATCTCTATATCTACAAAGAGGAAAATAATATCTATTTAACAAAATGTGGTGAGCATTAAATATGATGATAGATATAAAGATTTCTATCTGATATGACACTCTCTACATGAGCACTTCCTGAGTAAAGGTTTTATGAAAACAAGTATTTGGTGATAAATAATTTAGGGGAAATGGATTAATAACATGAGAGAGGTTTCTTTAGTACATGATTTTAATACCATATGCCTAATAAATCTCCAAGGAGGGACTTTGTAAAGTTTTTTAACTCTTTTATTGACAGAACATCTCACAAGAAGAATTATTGTATACCTGGAAAAACTAGTTAATTGGAAAATATGTCAATCTGATTTCAAATCCTTATTCTGTTATGTATCAAATTTAGCTATTTTCCTAATCTGTAAAATGAAGATAATATGCACATTAAGTGCTGTAGAAAATTGAGATGAAGTAAATTAAATATTTAACATTGTGCTTGGTATGCAATAAATTTTATTTTTCTTATGTATATTGGAGATAATAAAATCCTTAGATTTTATTTTTTTTAAAGTTCTAAGTGAACATGTTATGGACAGTTTTTATACCACTAGTTAAGATTCATCCATGAAAGTTATATTAATAATAAATTTCTGTAATTATTATGAAATCAAACTACATTATTGCTATATCCACAAAAAATTGGTGGTTATTTATGTGCACATATGCACATATATGCATTTATTCAAATACAGATAAAATTCTTTTATAAATACATGAGTACAAGTGCAGAAGAGATTCCATTTACATACATATATTCAAACTCATGTTTTCTCTATCTCTATATTTTTAGCATTACACATAAGGAAGTAAAAGAAAGGGTAGTTTTTGAAAATTAAGGAATAAAATGATAGTGGTTACAACTTTATAACAAAAAATATAATTGACAGTTGTGGAATCAGTTAAATGAAACAATTACTGCTACTATTTAAAAAATCAGGAAGGGGTGGAAAAGAGGAGATATTAGTGACATGTTCTGAACTATACATTTGGTTAGTTCTACTTCTACTTCCTGGTATTTTTTTTTTTGTAACAGTGTTTCATAGCAGGGCTTTATCTGCCTCAGTTGAACATTCAGTTATATGTATATTCGATATAATGAGGCTAACATAAAGCATCAAGCTTTTCTTCTAACATGCAAAATGAATGTACTAATTGTATTAAACAGATATTATATATGGATTTCTGAATTATTAGTAAAGCATCCATCTTAAGGATAGATTGTGTAAAATGATGCAACTACTAGTATATCGTATTTTGTATATCCCAATATTTCACTTTCACCAGAAAAAAAATAAGAAATTTTTTTTTGCAATTCTCTTTAGACTACAGGTATGAATATATTAGGAATACACACTGGGTGTCAGGCAGATACAATATTTATTAATAAACATAAAGAGTTTGTGAGTGTATCTGTTTTGAGTTATTTTTTTCTTTTTTTACATTTGTAGTCACACCAACAGAAATAAGAGAAAACCTCCAGAATTAGCAAACAAAACATACCTATTAGCAAACTATTTGTTTGGAAGGACATCTAATAATAAACATGAATGGTTTATCATAAGTAATTTAAGGTGATTTTTATAATATTTATAATTTTATATTTTTCCTCAGTTGGCAAGCAGAGCTAATTACTTCCATATTTTTTTCCTGTGGCACTCCAAAAAGTAGAATAATTTCAGACACATAAAAATTGTGTCTAATTTTTGGATTTAATTTGGATTGAACAGAACAACATTTGCCCGACACAACAAATCTGGCACTTGTCTTTGCATTTAGTTATACTCCTTTCTTTCTCGATCCTCTTATTTTTTAATTGGCTAAAATATTTGAAACATGTTTTTTTTGTGTGTGTATGTGTGTGTGTTTCTTGATTGATTACTTTCTTATTTTTCTGTTAAAGACTTAGATTGATAATAAATATTGATGGACTATAATCCATGAGCAACATGGAAGTTTTTTTTTTTTTGGATTTGAAATTCAAGATATAATGAGATATAATGAGCATCAAGATTTTAGTTCCGATTTAGAGGCAAGTATTACATACTTTTTCTCCTAATTTCTAAAGAGGTATCATACTGTTGCATGCCTTTAAGGGAAAGTTAAAATTGCAAACAAACTTCCAACTGGCAGGGGTGGGTAGTTACGAAGTTGACATGACAAACATTGTCACTCTTTTTTTTAAGAAAGAAGCAGAAGCTCAGCCATTAAAAATGAACTGGTAGGGCTGGGGTTATGGGTCAGCAGTGGGGCATTCGCCTAGTATGTGCAAGGCACTGGGTTTCATCCTCAGAACCACATAAAAATAAATAAAAAATAAAGATATATGTCCAACTACAACTAAAAAAATTTTTTTAAATGAACGGATAAACACTGCAATAAAAGCAAACAGAACTTAAATAACAGTATATTCTGAAAGAAAATTTTAAAAAGCAAAATTATAATCATGAAAACAGTAACATTGCCATGCACAAATCAGAACTCTTGTGACTAGACAGGTATGTGTGTGGGGGTGCTCATTTAGAATTTTCATTTTAGAAACTGTTCCCTCAGTTTTATGAACATGAAAATAGTCTCACAGAGGCTCAACAGTCTCTGGATTTTGAAATATACAGATGGCAATATTGTTTGCCTGGATTAGAACTGAAATATGCTTGGAAATTTTTTCATAATCTCCATATAAAATGAAAACAATTTTTGGATACTTGGGAGATTTATTTTACCTGTATGTCATAATAACAATAAGGGAGAGATGGAAGAATAGTAGAATGGAGAGAGTCATCACACACAATCACCATTACCAGTTCCCTGTATTTACCTGGTAGTATGTAGGCATTCTGCACTTCGTCCTCGTTTTGCTCTGGGCAGCATAAGAAGCTCACTGCACAGACAGGATGGGTGGTGAGTGAAACAGATAAATTATGAAGCATTAAATGACATGGGTTATGCCAATGGTATGCAGATGGAAACATGAAAGGGGAAGAAACCAGATTGTCTGCACTAGCATATTTGCTTGAGAGGTTAAACAAAAATAAACATGACAGCATTTAAAAAAGTTAAACAATAAAGTACAAACATTGTGGTTGAAGTCCTAGCTATTACTGACTTGCTATTGTCTTTCAAAATGATTTCACAGACTATAAAAACAAAACAAAAATAAACCTTACCCAAATAAGATAAGGAAGTGATTTCTAAGTGTAGACATTTAAATATTTATTAAAAAATACAAAATTTGATTTTATGATTCTAATTGGAACCCTAAAACTTTTATTTATTTTTAGCAACTTAAGATAGTTTTCTTAGCTCTAATAGCCACAGAAAATGCCATACCATATGTTTTTTTTTTTTTTAAACAATTAGGAAGGTACTTGATTAGGAGTTTTTCTTTTAAAATTGACACTTTTTTTCTTTACCCAAATTAGTTTCACTATATTGATTTCCTTAGTCAGGTGACCCTTTGTTTTTCCTCCTCAGTAAAATTCACTGAGTGCTAAATCAATGTCAAAAAAGCAAAGCAGCCTTCAATCAACTCAGTTCAAGCTTAACGGTCTGGAATCCTATTTCTCAGAGCATTTCCCTGTCCCAGTGTTCAGGGTGACTCCCCTCTTGTAGGGCATGGCACCATATCCCACAGCAGGGTAACAATTAGGAGGTGAGAAGCTCAACTTGGCCTCTGGTCCTTGTCTTCATGGCAATTAATCATTCAGCACTACCATCATTTCCCTACTCCTCATGGAAAGTTTCTCTACTTTGAAAAGCCAGAAGAGAATATTCAACAAGGGGGATAATAAAAATCAGACCCTGAACTTATGGTCAAGTTATAGTACAAACGTGGTTACTCTGGGGAGAAAGGCTGTGAATGTGTGGGAAAACAAATTCATAATGTAGACTTATAATAAATTTCCAAGAAATGTATGTACATAAATAAGTGCAGAACTAAATTACATGGTTATTCAAAAGACTCCATCTCAACATTTAATATTTTATAGACATTTCTGGAATAATATTTCAGAAAAATTGAGGTATATGATAAAAACATTAATAGTGAAGTTCTCTCCAACACTCTGCAATATTAATTTCCAGATGACCCATTTCCAAAAAGTTTTTAATTGCATAAATAACAATCTTTATAATTAGAAAAATAACATCCCAACCATTGTAACCCATAAAAGATGAATATCTGAAACTTGTTCATGTAGGCTCCCTTCTAAAATTTAGGTCGGTGTCTAACTCAACAACAAATTTTGCCTTTACAACTAGATAGACATGAAGTGTAACTTTTGGGGAAAAAAAGTTTTATAACAATATATTGTTGTCCAAATATTTGTAGAGTTGCATTTTTATAAGAACATCTTAACAGCTGTTCCTTGAGAGAAGTTGTGTTTTGAGTGATGACATATGTTTACTCTTTAATGTAGTATGCCACAATATTTGTGCACATTAAAACAGAAAAAAGAAAAACTTGTAATGTTGAGATCATAATTTAGACAAGTACCTGTCTTGTTCTGATAAATACTGACTATCCACATCTCTGGATCTGTGATCAGCAGGACTTCGGGAGGCATCATGGTGTCTGGTTGGAGAACGTGATCTTCTTGTTGGATGAATTTCATCTAAGCTCCTAAAATGATGATAAAATGTATTAGTCAAAGTGCATCATCTTCTCAGACAGACAGACAGACCAAGAGGAAGGAACTGATAGCAATAGTAAACAAATGACATGGCTTAAAAAGTGCTGCCATGATTCTCCAAATCTATTTTAATCAATGAGTTAAAAGTATTTATTCTCTAGGTTTTGGCTGTGCTGCATTTCTTCAACCTTCTCTAGCATCTTTATCAAAAAAGGACCACAATTTTTCATCTGCTTAACTAAATCCACTGAAGAGTATTGCAGGGTGAGATAAAACACAGTATATATTACAGATATTTCATCTACTTCTCCAAGCTTTTAAAGTGCTTCAAGGAAATAATAATAACTCTCCTAAAAATACATTCTGTCTCCTAACCTTATCCTTTGTCACTTCACTGCACAGTTCTTATTGATTACTATAAAATTTCTCCTGAAAAGAGGGAAAACTCACAAATATAAACAGTTTCTCAAAACTTATCCTTAGAACATAAACTTCTTTCACTCTCTGAAAAATTTCTTAAGATTAAAGAACAGATTGCTGCATAGGTTGGATAAAGAATAAAGAAGCATTTCCCTGCAAACAATTCTGAAAAAAAATAATTTGACTGACCTAACCATGTTTCATTTCAGTTAAGAGTCTTGCAGAAATTCACAATGTGTTTTTAATTAAAAAATACAGGGACACTAAGCCTACCTCTGTAATGGCACATTTGGTAAACGTGAACGCGGCCTTCCCTGATCATCGCCGCGATGAGGAGATACTGAACGTGAGCGGTGATGAGTTGTTCTTTGCTGTTCTGGCACAGTTAATGTTGTTGATTTACTTTCTCTAGCACTAGACCTATAACCCACTGGCAAAAAGTATACACAAATAAATTGTTAGTACTTTTTTATAATGCACACATTAACATGGACATATTAAATTATGTTAAAGCATTTACTGACCTATTAATATTAAATGCCATGCAATCATTAGCCTTATTCTCAAATGTACTAAGTATATGGACACAGAATGTGATAAATACATGCATAAGAACAGGTTGCAATTTGGTTCTATGCTACCATTAAGAAACTGAATGTAAACATGACAGATGATGCCTCAGACATTAGGATGAGTTGGGATACTATTTAATTTAAAGAAAAAATGAATTAGTTACTTTTCAGCAACATAAATGAAGAACTTGACAGTGAATTATAGTTGATACACAAATCAATGCTTAGAAATTTTATGTCTCTTTCAATTTAAGTTTTTCATTTAAATTTTTCTTCCAAATAATAAATTATTTTATTTTAGTTGGACTATAGATGGCCTAGTTAAAAAAAATGAAACTATCATATCAATTTTAATTTAAAAATGAAAATAATATCATGCCAATTTTAATTTATGAAGAAGGGTAGCAGCTCTTTATTATTACAAATACTGATTGTGAATTTTGCAAACCAGAGATAAGACTATAATTGTCAAATTAAGAATTATATGAGTAGAGATGATTATGGCAATGAAGAGAAATCAACCTTAACAAATCATCAAATCTATAAGATGACATATAAAACTATTCCATAATTTTGTTAATTATTATCATAAGCTAATATAATTAAGACAAATACAATTAAAATAAATTCTAATGGCCATTTCTCCCATGAAGCAAAAAGGTTTATATCTTCTCTGGTTTGATTAAAATAAAATAGTTATCTCAAATCCATAATAATGGTTTAGAATTTAAAAGTTCTTCAAAAGCATCACTGTTTCCTATCAGAGCAAGAAAAATTAAAAATATGATGTGTAGTAATACAGTTCTATTTACAACTACAGTTCTATTTACAACAACTACATAAAACGTACATGAACCATGAAAATCTAACTGGACAGAGCTCATGCTTTTGTTCATTTTTTTATTTGATAACTCCCACATCCTTTTAAAAATATGCCATAAAACATCACTTACAAATAATTCCTCAGCAGTTTATCTGTTGTGACTACATCATCTCATGACTAAATTTTAAAACATCACTATGGTTTTTAAATGTCTCATAAAGTGAAATATGATAACACTGAGATAAAACAAGTCCAAACTACTTTGTTATAATGTTAAAAACATTATTATACTGACCAAAAATGATACCATAAATGGCATAATTTGTAAATGCATATATTTCAGTTTGTTGTCAAATAAATGGCTATCCATTTTTTTTTTTAGTTTTATGTAGAAAATATTTTTGGTATTCAGATGTATAAATTGTAACATAAAGATGAGAAACAGACCAACTAAATTAACAGGTAGTGAATAAACTTCACAGCTCATTATAAAAATGGTCACAATTTTCATGGATAAGGAATCCAAGGTTAGACTTACTTAACATTTTAAATTACCATTTGGTATCAATTATACAATAGTTTGGAACATCAATACTGAATTAGAAACATGATCAATTTCAAGATTTCAATTAATATTCAAGGTATATACTAGATGTAGTATAGTTAAATATTAAGAGAGAAATTCTAAAGAATTTTGCTGTTAAAATATATAATTAATTTTTGCAGGGTTTGGTGTTTATATAGAGAGCAATGCCTCTTTTATACTATCATCAACAAAAGAGTTTAGAGAACAAAATATTACCCTAAAACTTTTCATACACTAAGATTATTTAATATAACTTTTTCTAAAATTCACTAGAAAGTTCCGATTTTATACAGAGAGGATATTGAAGGCAACATACATTACTGTGGTGATTCAAAGTCATTCTCAGTTTCATTTACATGCTATATTATTCAAAATCTGAATGTCTGACTCTATACTAAATCATCATAGATAAATATGCATTTGTAGTTTTTTGCTTTTAAAAGTAACATGTCTTTCTTGTTGTGATTAATTGAGCATTGAAAATATGTGCTCTACCTTCAGAAACACGAGTGGGGGGATTGCTATTTAGTGTTCATCCCAATGTTTTAGTTGGCTCAGAGTTAGAAATTAGAGGGTTTTCTTTTTCATTTTATGAATTTATTGTAACATTCAAAAGGTTAAGTTACCGGATGCCTCTTCTCAAATGAGGGCCTTTTTTTATATGGTGTTTATTCTTTTTAAGGCACTATAATTATTTATTTTAAATTACACAAAGCTATAGAGTTGAGAATTCTAGCCATGGAGGTATCAACTGCTTTCAGAATCTGCTATGCTTCTCTATTAAAAAAAAAACATAGCAAATATGTGGGAGACATTCTAGAAAAGTTAAGGTATTGGAAAGCTTAAGATTTGGCTGTGGTAAAACACTTTGAACTAAGATTTTAAGCTTCTTCAGGTCATATGCAACCAGGAATTACAGAGTGCATTAAACATGTAGAACTAGCATCCACATCTACATAAATGTTCTCTTCATACTCATGCTGGAAAATATAGAAGCAAATTTGTGATCAGCTGCTAAAAGATAGGGGAATACATTATGTGTGTTTATTAACTTACTCCCTCACTTCATTTTAACTTCTTGCCCATTTTGTCAATGCCTCATCTTTCCTCTTTATTTAAAATATACTATCTATCACTCTGTGGCTTATTATATTACTTCTGCCACATATATCTTTAGAAGGTACCATATATTCATATATTAGATCATTAGATCAATGAAGAGTTATCTGAAACTATAAATGAATATCATGATCCAATTTACTAATTTATAAAATGACATCTGAAACATAATTTATTATTTATTGGTTATGTTTCATGTAAATCACTAGCTACTATGTAAATCACTAATTACATTCTTTCAAATTTCAGCATATTATATTTTTAAATACTAAAGAAAAATGAAAAATATTGTTTGAAAAGAAATTTAAACACTGCTTCTGTATGATACAAGTGATTATGTGTTCACAAACACATAGTATGAGCAATATATTTCAGTACTGAATATAAGAATATTTAGAATTCAGTGTTCTTTGGTGGTACCCAAGCACTGATCCCATCTATAGTGGGTCCTATAACTCATTTTTACTTCTTAGATGCTGATATCTATGTGATGTGTCACAGAAAAGAGAAGAAATGCATTATTTTAGTAAATATTTATTTCATTATCTATTAACTTATTCCTTAATTCTCTCCTGCCTCCCTATAAAAATATGAAATTACAGGTGAGTAAAATATGGGGACCACTCTTAGAAGTAAATTTTATTTATATAAGTAGTAACAATACCATTAACGCTGATGAATAGCCAAGAATTGTGTTATATTTGATGACTTTCCCAAAAGGAATCATCTGATTCTACTTGAATAAGTCAACGGATTTAAATTGATAACCACATGTACCTTCAATTGTATGAAAATTATTATTATACTTCATGTAAACATTTCTGTCAAGAATGTTCATAATTTCCATGATCATTACAGAAATAAAAAAGAAAGCAAATAGAAAATGTCATCCAATCTTTTTCAAAATTCTCACTGATACTCTGATATTAAAGTAGTATAAATGTATGTAGGTGTATATAGCACTAGGTTTATTGTTTTAACAACATTGACTACTTTTTATACATGATTAAATAGTATATTTTCTCTGGTTTGTAGACAGCAAATGAAATCTGATTTGAGAGAATTTTCCATAATTTTCTCCTATGTTTAATTAAGTTATATGCATCTCTCCAAATTGCCAACTTAGTTACTGGTGTGGAGTCTATGAATTTTGCCAAAATCATTGCCTTCAAATTAAGTGAATCCCTATCTGAGAAATTATGTAAATCTATGGGACTTAAGACAATATTATTCCAACAAACTGCTATTAATAATCACATGTATATGTTCCAGGATTAGCTCTTTAATATATTCTTATTGGAATATTTACTTTCCATAGTAAATTAATAAAGCACTATAGTGTTAGTGCCCCAAAAAGTAAACCATTAATACTTGGTTTTACACACTTCCTTGACAAAAGTCATACAGAAAACATAAATTTGGACTGTACAATATCACAAAAATCTCACCAGTTTATACAATGAATAAAAGATAAGACTTCAAATGAGTATCGAATCTTTCTAAGGCACTTTCTATTTGACAACACACACACACACACACACACACACATTCTAGGTATAATCGGTAGTGTACACATCACAAAAGCATTAAAATTATAGCCATGCCACATGCAGTTATAAGCCCTGCCATGCACCTTTCTCAGTATATTCCATGGAAGGCTACTGTGTTCTCAGAAATGGAGGAAAGAGAATCATAGAAATACAATATGAAACATGGAAGAATGGAATTTTATGCAATACAATTCATCATATTCTTTCAAAATGAAATTCATATTTTCACTTTTGCTAAGAGCATTGTGAAATAATGATTGATTTCACCTAGTTAAACTTCGATGAATGAACCTAAATTAAGTCAATAGGGATGTTTATTAAGATACTATTATATTTTAAACTTTCTTAACAATTTGAAATGCAAGTCACCATGGAATAATAAAATACTGATTTTTCTGTGCTACAGATCTCCAGTTCAGTATCCCAAAAAAGTCTAGAAGTTAACAGCGAAAACAAGCAAGGAAGCACAGTGAAGCTGAGCCATGCTCTTCACCAACGCACCTGGAGGAACTACTCCAATACCATCATCAACCTCATAATCTGAGATGTCACTATCACTGATTCGCTGAGATCCTGCACAACAGTAAGGCAAACAGATACCTCTGTGTCTGATTGGTTTATGAAATGTAAAGGACACAGTCAATTTTTTATACTAAATACATTGCTACTCAATACTTTCAAACAAGAATAGTATAAAGACTTGAGCTGATATTTTATGAAATTAATGTTTGTTTTCTAAGGATATTTTCTAAGAATTTCCTCACTATACCATCATACTGAAGACATAAAAGCAAAGGGACCTTGTAAGATAAGATTTTGACCTTTCAGATTACTCTTTAATTAAAATTCTACACTAAATCCAATAGCAATGTATATGCACTGTTTTCCACACAGCCAATCACTTTCCTGGGCAGTTCAGGAAAGATGGGGCTGAGTGGAAAAGTTCAAATAACCTCCCTTGGATGAAGTTCTGTGGAGCTCATACTATTGAAAGGACATCAGGGTCTTTTTAAAACATTTATGTTTAGTTTCTAGAATTTGTCATTATACGGCATTAAACATTAATTGTGGGGAAATGATTGAAAGAAAGGACTAACATGAAATATTCAATCACACCTAAAATATTTGGTTCCAGATTACCAAAATGAGGTTTCTAATTCCGGATGTTAAATAAAAAATTTATTTATAACTCAAAAAATTACTAGATACTACAGCAAAATAAATTTTCCTGACCATCAAATGTATAACAATAAACTTACTTTTTAAACTTTATGTTTAAAAAGCATATTTCTTATTAATAAAAGACTAAAAATATCCATGAACTATAAAGTTATTAAGACCTGACATGTAGCAACCCATTAATAATGATGGAAATTACTCTATCATTTAACCAATTAGCAACTCAAGAGTCTTGCATAAGAATTATAACTCATAGTATTTTAGCTCTTAGCTCTGGAATTCCTCTGCTATGATATATATGTTATTTTATTGTGAAAATGCAGAAAATAGTTTTGTCCAGACTCTTTATATAGATGATCAATTTTCCAATAGTTTAATCTGTAATAAAACCCTTAAAAGTATCTTCCATGCTAATCTCCAATTAGATCATTACAACTTGATTATTTTCTGGTAACTAAAAAGATCTTGACCTACTTTGAAGCTTCTTGCTAGAGCTTTCTCCATGAATGTGTCGCCTTGGCATGAAAGGTGATGGCTGAGGCAGAGGTAGTGAAGATTCATCGTGTGTCTGAAGTTTATACCAATGTGGTTCATCATCTAAAAGTGCTGTCTCCAATTCTATGAGGATCTGAAAGGGTGGTTCTCAAATTAATTTAAGCACCTTTACCAAAACAAAATATATCAGTAATCATAATTAACATGTATTAAAAAAAAAACCTCATTGAGCATTTGACTTGAATCTGTACAATATACATCACCTCTCCAAGAAATTCACTTTCTTCTTCTTGTACTCTTGGTTGATCCCACACAGTTATTTCTAACATTCGCTCTCTAAAATCTCTACGATGTACATGTGAATAGACAAAAGTTTGATTCCATTTTGGTTCTAGTACTTTCTTTACTGTTTTGGTCCTCCTTTTACTTTTATCACTGAAAAATAAGGATGTTTTGTAAATGAACAAGCAAAACAAGTATATGCCGCCACCTACTGCAATTACATGTAATATTGCCATTGGTATTTTTACTACTTTTAGTGTATAAAATAAAAGTCTGAAAACACTATAGAGTTAGATAGAATTCTAATTTCAACTTCAATGTAAGCAGTAGCTATGATTATAGTCACAAACACACAAAGGTATATTCTAAATGATGTGCTGCTATCAAAGACATGGATAAACAAGGTAATAGACATGTTTAAAAATTGCCAGATTATTTTCAAGTAAACAAAAAACTTGAGGGACTTTTTTCATATATAATGAAGTTTGCTCCCTCTGAAAAAATAATCTGTTACATTTAGAAAATATACTTCAGAAGAAAATATTCTATCTCTTCTGTTAGTACATATTTTAGCATTTTTTCTAAAATTATTCACTACCTTCTATCTGGAAGAAAATACATTTTTACATAAGGATTCCTGGGACGGCCATCTACTCTAGAGGGTAGATCTGTTGCTTGCAGAACATTTACAATCAGCTGGTGTCCCACTTTATCATACCACAGCTTCACCTAAGAGCAATGCAGAAAGGAATTATTTGAAAAAAAAATCAGGAAGTATTATAAATTTTTACATTAAATAATATTAAAATTATATTTAAAGAAAACATTTAAATTGTACTATAATAAAATTTCAGGTATTATTTCTGAAAAGAACACCAACTGGAAAGTGTAATCATTTAGAATTCAACTTTTCTCTCGAAGCATTTTGAACCTAACTTACAGCTGACAGGCCTGCAAGGTACTATATCTTATGCCACAATTTGGGGAAGAGGGCAATGTTGAAATCATTATCCTTGTTTTTTAAATGCTTAACCCAAAAGTTTGGTGGTTACCAGTGACTCGATCATAGATCAGCTAAATGCACTTTTTAGTGCCATGGGTTGATGAAAGAAGTTTCAGTATTCAGATATAACAGACTAAAAGACATTGGGAAGCTACTGAGTGTTTCCTGTCATTTTTCTCATTTAAGTTTTATGATTAACTTACTTACAGGCTAATTCATAAGAGAAGGGGAAAAGAAACAAAGGAGGACTCAGTGCATAAATGATATCTTCAAACTACATGAGGGACAGACAGTATTTCTGCTAACTAAAATTTCTTGATAGTTAAACTAAGAAAAATGGGAAACAGCACACTGACATTCTGTTGTCAAAACCCTTAGAACCAAACTTCAGCTGTCAGGAGAGATTTGTGCTGGCAGCAGTAATGACACATTAAATTAACCATAGAGTTCTTTTTATTTCTTTAATCTAGAAGTTCCTTTGGATTTTATGGTTGAATAAGAAATATAAATATACATGGCTGATGATCACATGTTGGAGCATATTTAAGAGTTCTGATAACAAAATAAGCTATTTTAATATGGGAGTGTTTTTTTCATAGTGAGGGGCAGATTAAGAATCCAGATCTGTATGAATCCAACCCTCCAGTTCTCAGTAAATACTAGGGAGACATTTTTCATAAAACCCCAATAGATTTTCACTCTTTTAAAAGTACAGGTGAAGAGTATACACAAACAAACTAGAAAAAAAAAAGGTTTTAAGGCAGATAAAATAAATATAAAGGACTATACTAAGATATTAAATATACTAAAAGTAGGAATGAAAACCAAGAAAACCTTTGAAAACAAGTGAGCTTACATTTATCTTTGACTAATTAAAACTAAGAATAGCAAAGAGAGAAACAGAAATAAAAACATTACCAAAACAGCAAAAAATCAATTAATTTGAATAATTTGAAGCTAGGTTTTCCTTTTAGTTATTTAGTCATATGTCCCATATTCTGTATCAATCTACACAGATGTAGCTCTTCATAATAGTTAACCATGGTGTCCTAATCCTGGCTTTCCTCAGATCACATGGAGACACAAGTGAGGGAAATGGCAATTTCTTTAGAGTGCCTGCAGTGCTCTCATTTCACCAAATGCCTTAGGAAGTTACAAAGATTATTTTAAATTTAAGTTTCTCAGGCTCTAGACTCAGAAGGGGTTAAGTACATTAAACATGACTTTCTAAGAAAATTATATATATAATTATTGCCTTAGAAACATTAATATGGCATGCCAAAATAATGAATATTTTACTTATGTTTCCATTTAGTACATAACATTTAAGGATATGGTATATTGTGGACATTTAATAAATATTTCCATATAAATATATGAATTAAAGAAATAGCTGAAGGAATGCTTAAAATTAACAAAGTGATTACAGTGTCATATGACTACATTTTTATTGTAGGTTTCAAGGAAAGCCAGGCATTTTTGTTAAGACACACTCAAAAAGTAACAAATGTTAAGTATCTTTGTATGTACAACATATACGTACAGAAAGTTGCCCTGGTAAGACTTGTGGGGCATCTTTCAGGGCTCCAGGACTTGTTGGAGAAATAACAGAAATGGAAGGCCTTTCCATCTTTTGAGATTCAAAGGAGCTTGAACCTAAAATGAGAAAAAAAATTAAGTATCATTTAAGTGTGTTTAAGTCCAAGGAATAATTCTTTTTTAAAAATAAAATATTTAATGTACCTGTTATTTGTATAAAACAATAATTACCAGCATTAATAACAGAGCCTACTTTAGGGACAGCTATGGAAAGTCATTTTAAAATGTTTTCTTTGGTTAAGCTCCTGTTTTAAAGATATTTTGAATGATTTAGCAAAATGTTGCATTTATTTGTTTCAACTTAAAAGTTATTGATCTGCTATATTTCTGCAGGGTACTGTACTGCATAATCTCTTATAAATCCAAATATAGGTATAGGCTCATGCATTAGTAATAAGGAATATGGTGCCTGTTGTGTTCATTATGGTGGCAAATGGATCATTTATTATAAGGTATCTTAGAAAATTAAAATGTATACATATGGAATATAATTTATGAATCACATCTAATTTTATATTACATCATTGTTTTAAAATTTATCTTTGCTACTTTTAATCTCACTATGAATCTCTTTAGCCTCTGTGAATGCACTTTCTCATTAATTCACGACAAATGACTTCCTTTACCTTCAAATAAAGGAAGCTGGTTCTCTTTTCTCATAGTGTGTATCCCTGACAACATGGGTAAGGGTAGGATGCTAACAGAGTGCAATTACCCCACTAGTATCACCTTGAACACACAGCCATTCAAACTTAGCAATTGTTTCATGGAGAAAAACTATTTGTGGATATTGCCTGAGGTATGTCATTGACATACTGTTTTTCTGTACTCACTAATTAACTCTAAATTAAGCCACATGCCATCATCTCCTAGACTCTAAAGGAAACTTATAAGAAACAGATCTGTAAAATAATCTTTGTTACTATGTTGCTTTTATCAGATCTCTTTTGAGATAATTTTTATCAAGACTCAGAACAGGAACACTGTTGCTTCTAAAATCAGTTTGTTTCTTATATAAGAATCTATTAATTTTTAAAATCTTATCCATACCATAATTATGCAACATAATTATGCAATTAGTCCCATTTCCCATCTATATTGGTCTATATCTCAAAGCCAAACCTGCAGGTATGATAACATGATGGCATGCCTTTTTATATCCTAGTCTCATTTAATCCTCCCATCCCCTCACCCCCTGCCCATAGCATATTATGGATCAGCATTCTTAAATCAGAGAAATCATTCAGCATTTGTTTTGGGGGGATTGTCTAATTTCACTTAGCATTATTCTCCAGCTCCAGCCACTTACTTGCAAATGCCATTATTTTATTCTTTCTTAATGCTGAATAATATTCCATTTTGTATATATACCACATTTTCTTTATCCATTCATCTACTGAAGAGCATCTGGGTTGGTTTCACAGTTTAGCTATTGTGAATTGTGCTCCTATAAACACTGATATTGCTGTGTCCCTGTAATATACTATTTTTAATTCCTTTGGGTATACACCAAGGAGTGGGATAGCTGGGTCAAATGGTGGTTCCATTCCAGGTTTTCCAAGGATTCTCCATACTGCTTTCCAGATTGAATGCACCAATTTGCAGTCCCACCAGCAATGTATGAGTGTGCCTTTTCCCCACATTGTTGCCAAAATTTATTGTTGTTTGTATTCTTAATAGCTGCCATTCTGACTGGAGTGAGATTAAATCTTAGAGTAGTTTTTATCTGCATTTCTCTATTTGCTAGAGATGTTGAACATTTTTTTCATAGATTTGGTGATTGATTCTATATCTTCTGAGAAGTGTCTGTTCAGTTCCTTGGCCCATTTATTTATTGGGTTATTTTTTTTTTTGGTGTTAAGATTTTTGAGTTCTTTATATATTCTAGATATTAGTGCTCTAAGTGTGAATGGAGAAAAGGGGAGGGAGGGGTAGGGAAGAGACATAGAGGTAGGAAAGACGGTGGAATGTGATGGTCATTATTATCCTAAGTACATATATGAAGACACCAGAGATATGAAAAATTGTGCTCTATATGTGTAATATGAATTGTAATGCATTCTGTTGTCATATATAATAAATTAAAATCAAAAATAAAAAAGGATAAAAAAAACAAGCCAAGAAATTGAGCATGGTGGTGCATGCCTATAATCTCAGTGGCTTGGGAGGCTAAGGCAGGAGGATCTCAGGTTCAAAGCCAGACTCAGAAACTTAGCAAGTCTGCTAAGCAACTTTTCAAAACCCTGTCTCTAAATGAAATTTTGAGACAGGTCTCACTATGTTGCTTCAAACATGCTAGACCGCCTCAGTTTTCTGAGTCACAGGGATTACAGGCCTATTAGTTCACTGTACCCCGTAGGACTGCAATTTTTACAAAGTGAGATGGGAAGCTGTCCCAAGTTCACTGTGGTTTCTGTGTTGCTAGTAGATTTCAGGGGACAAGGGCAGAAGCAGGGAGACCAGTTGGATACCACATAATTGTCCAGATGAATGATGATGGAGTTTGAACCTGCGATGGCAGGGAAGGTGGTAGAGAAGAGGGGTTGGTGTGTACTATAAAGGCAGAGCCCTCAGGGTTTCCTGATGGACTGGATGTGGGGGGTGAAGAGAGAAAAGGAGCTTGAGGAAGAGTGCTGTTGCTGTCAACTGAGATGGCTTGCTTGCATTTGTGAAAGAATTTCCACTAAGATCCTGGTTTTTCCCTAAATCAAATATTTTACATTCATATAAGATAATAATAGCACCTGGAGAATTGAGCCCAAGTATTAATTTAATGCCAATCCATGGCAAAATAAATGTTTGGGTCATTCTACATTATGAATAAAATTATGCATAAAATTTTAATATTTGTCTCTATTGTTCACAATATCATCTTAACTCCTCCTGAATGACTTCAATTTCCACATAGATATTTTTTTCAGTCCTCTAGCCCCACAGTGAATTTTCTCTCTGCCCACTGGCTTCCATTATTATACCTGAGACTATTTTGTTGTAAATATGATTATTTGTTGGTATGCCTATTTATGAGGCTGCTCATAAGACTGAGCTGCTAACCAATCAAACAGAATAATTCGGTATCAGAACAAATTTTTATCTACAGAAAACAGAACTATTAGAGGTTTAATAATTGAGCTCTGAGAGATTATGACTGTTTTGATGAGAAGAGGCCTGTAGTATAGACCTTTATATAGCCACAAAAGAAAAAGCAAAAAAAGAAAAAAGAAAAGAAAAATCTTAAAGGAAACTTCTTTGGGCTTCCAATGATTGGCATGTGGCCAAATTCTGGTATCAGTGAGGACAACCTTAGTCTGGTAACACCAATTGTTTTATGTTAAATAACTGACGAAAAGGATAAGTCTTAACTCTTTGATTTAGTTCTAAACTTTATAATAACACAGAAATCTCATACTCACTGGATTCCAGTGGAGGATGGGAACTCTCAGGAATCCGGGGAATGTCACTAAAAGAAAGAGGGTATTGTAAAAATCCCATTAGGTGAATTACTCTGGCTGAGACAATCACAGCCCATTTTATTTCTATGATGCAGAAAAAAATCCTTTTGCATCTTTAGAAATGTAGAAATGGAGGGAACTTACTATTTAGATAACTACTGATGTACATGGATGTCAAATGCCACACACACACAAAAACTCCAATAAAATAAGTTTTTAGATATTTAACAGCAAAACACTTTAACATGACAACAATCAGACTAATATTGTGGATAAAATCACCACAATATTTTTACTACCAAAACAGCAGGTTTTGGAAATAAAAAATGTTAAAGATAATATTCTACTTCCATTATAGAAAATCAAAATGACACAAATTTTACAAATCAGTAGTATGCTTTACGAACACATCTGAAAGAGTTTACTGAATGAAAGGGATGGGAATATCTCTTAATAAAATCAAATGATATGATGGATACCATGGGCAAAGTTAATAAAATGAAAAGGATGAATTGCTTTGGAAATTAAAGATGGCTCAAGCTTGCAACAGAAAAGCCAAAAAATTTTATATATATATATAAAATTTATTCATATATATATATATGAATATCTAATGCATATGCACATATATAATATTCATGGAGATTCCTATCTCCAAACTGAAGTTAGCTAAATATATGGCTATTTGCTGTATGACTAGAAAATGACTGTAAGAACACCCATTCCTGTCACACTCACAAATTACTCTGAAGAAATATGTAAGATAGGCTTAGCTTAAGCCATTATCCACTGTGACCTTAAGAACCCTGGACCACCTTGTTTGCTATTATACTGTATGATACTACTTTACCTCTCCTTTTACAAAGATATTTTAATATTAATTTAAGAAGATTAACACTACAGGAAGTATTAACACGACATATTAAAGTAGACTGGAGTTAGCCAGTATCAACAGAATTAACAGCATAATATTTAAGAATTTCGAATTACTTACCTTGTGACCTAATTTGTGCTTTGATTTTCCTTACATTTTTAGGGGGCAGGGAAAATAAAAAGTTTTCACTGTTTGATTGTTTTCTTGCCCTCTTATTTTTATATTTTTATAAGTAATGTGCATAATCACCTACAACTTTTACAAATTTTCTTTTGAAATTTTACAAATTATACTCTGTGCTGTGTATCTTGGGAAATTTATCTCTTTTGTATAGTTTTGTATAAGTTTAAATAAAATAAATTATTTATATGAATTTGTAACTAAGAGACTAATTTTAAATACCTAAAATACAATAAACCAACTATTTATCCTGTTTATTCAAAACTCATTTAAGTACATAAAGGTAAATTATAAAAAATTCACAAACAATAATTTTTTAAACAGTATGATTTCTTTGAAAAGCAGCCTCATAGCCAATTACAAAATTAGAATTTAGAACCCTAAAGCAAGTTATAGACTTTGAATTTTATTCATCATTGAAAGAAGGACAGGGAAGAAAATATTAAAAAGTTAAAGTGATTTTGAATAAAAATTTATTTAATGCTAAATACTTTAGTAACATTTTCACACATAAATTTTCCCATGATGTTTATACAGGTCTTCTTAATCAGTTCTACTCTCAAATTATGTGGTAAAGGAGTTTAAATATCAGTTATAAGCATCAGCGTTTAAGGATATTATATTTGGTGGACTCCCAAATGGTCAATACCTCAAGATGGCCAATGTCTCATAAACTGTGCCAATCATTCCTGAAATCATTATGTAAATAAATTATGAATAAATATTTGCATTTTGAATTTAATTATAGTTGCTGAACAGAACTACATTAAACCCCATTGTTAAAATATCTCTAGAATTATTCCAATAATACAATCACTGGAAAGTTGATGCCAGCTTTGATTCTTTTTCAAATATAATCTTTGTATTGTATATTTTTTTGATTTCTATAATCCATATTAGTTTAGAGTTTGGCTATGTAGATGATGTTGCTTTAAGTAGTTTTCATAGAAAAATAAAAATGTTATTCCAGTCTACTTTAATTGTCTGTTGGTTTCTTAAATCACCATAATCAATGATATTTTTGCTTATTACTTTTAAACCACTATATATATATATATTTAAAAGTATTTGAAAATGTGTGCAGAGCTTGATATTAAATTTTATTTTTATATAACTTCTGATTCATTTTCCAATTTACTTACCTCTTTTCCAGTCTCATTTTTACCTCAGCAATAGAACATATGTCATGTAAAACTATCATAAATCATAGAGTTATTTTAAACATCTACATGGAACTGTACTTTTGCAAAGGTCTTCAATGTCTACTAATGACTTAAAACTGGTTATAAGTTTGCCTTTATTTTAGGGTTTTATATATATTGATGTTCTTTGGTATATGATTATACATTTTCATTCCTTTGAAATTAGGATTATTATATTTTCTTGTATGTTTTGCATTGACATATATTCATGAGGACAGCAAAAATTAAGGTTAGCAGTCTTCCAACATAAAAAGTCTGAATTAATGGCTATATAATATCTTGGAGAATAGGAAAAAAAGAATTATTTCCAAGAATACATTCAAACATTAAGCCAACTATGATGAGATGGTACAAGATGCCTCCTAAAAATTATAGACTTGCAAAATGAATATTTATTCTGGACTTTGTAGTTTTGCTAGAAAAAGCTAACAACAGGGGAAATATATAGATATAGAAAATATTCTATTCGTTATAGATAATTAAATTATGTTTAATTTTAAGGTTTTAAAAATGATACCAATTACTATGACTAATTATTATAAGTCAAATATCAAAATATTTCCTTGATTTTAATTGGGAACTACCCAATTGGTAAAGATATAGAAAAAATATTTTGTTCTTTATAGAATAGCAAAAATCTCATGAAGACATATAAAATTAATATTTTAAATATCATAAGATGAGTTTGCTACTAATTCCTTTTAAAGAAAATACTACTCCTTAAATTAGAATTTCTGAAAATAAGTTCTGCTACTAAAAAAAAAAATCACTTTTATTTCAATTTTGAAAAATATATATTGATACTTTTTGATATTACAATTGTTAGATTATGGAGCTTCTAAAATGTAGTAAAAATATTCAGTAGTCCAGTTTTTAAAAATTGAGAAATTTTAAAAATCTAAAATGTATGCCCATAATTGATGAAAAAACTATCCATGTTAACATGTACTGTATGAATTTATAAACTTCTTTTTAAAACCCTACTAATACATGTAATTTACTAAACTTAAGAAGCAAGTTTTTTTAGCCTTACCCAATAGGCCTTGAAACAATAATTTCAACTTGAGGTTCTGATTTTGATTCTAAAATAATGTTGTAAACTTCTTCATTTGTAGCTCCCGGCAGGGGTTTACCATTCCATTCTAGAACTTCATCCCCTTGAATTTAAAAAAAAGGGTATTTTTTTACCTTATATATTCTGTTTTATTTTTCTTATCTTTTCTCTTTTTTTTTAACAAAGAAATGCAAAACATATACAAATAATTTAATTTCCTAGGCTCTGCTCTTAAAAGCAAATTGATTGGCATAAAATGTGAATTAAAGGTTTTTTTGCACACCTTTATTGTTTTCATGTTTTCCTTTTTTTCTCCCAAAATATTACTGGTCATTGAAAACAGTACAATATAAAACTGCCTTTATCTTTTGAGATATACCAGAAATAATATAAAAATAATCTCATGCTATGGGATGGATTTAGCACAGCCTATTTTGGAAACATTAGAAAATAATAATTAGCAGCATGCCCTCCATATAATAAATGTAAGCAACTCTATGTATGATTCTTATTAAACTGCATAAATCTTCTTTTATTTTGGTAAAAATAGCAATTAACATTTGTTAGCATGAATTTTTCAGTTATAAATCACACTTCATTGTCTTCACCAGATGCACAACAGAATAAAAATGCATGAAAGGATTTGAATTCACACCCACAGGGTAACACAGGTAGCTATGGCAAAGTTACGAAGCAAGCAGATGTAAAATTTGCATGACAGTTAACCCAATTCCAGATGCTCAAAACATGTACATTATATACATGATATATAGTGAATGTCAAAGTACAAATATAAAAATATTTTTAAAAATCAAAAATATAAAATACTACTTAGTTTGTTAAATAGTTCAAAATTCATTAATATAGTATGATGCTGCATTAAAAAATGGAGGTTAATGACTAATAGTTATTACTTTGAGTAGAGTTTTCACCATAAATCATTTGCAAACAAAGATTTATTCTCATAAATATTTAGCATATTTTTAGTTCCCAGATAGTTCTAGCCCCCTTCAGTTGACAACAAAAGGATCAGTTGAATGAAGATTAAATAGACAGCAAAATTACCAAGCAGTGAGGATAATGGGCCCCATTCAACCACACCAAAATGAGTTTTTCTGCTATTAGGCCCCTGCCAGCATGGCAGGAGTTATATCTCTTCTTGCTTAAATAAATCCTACTCAGTTTACTCTTCCCTTTCTGCTCTGTTTACTTTTTCCTTCCATGATCGTCCATAAATTTCATTCTTCAAAATTAGTGAGACAAGAACCCAGAGGAAATTGGCGAAGAGGGTAGTCTAGTCTCATCTCAAAACTCTGGTTTCACAGCTGAACTACCGCAGCCTTAGTGGCATGTGGAGGCATTTGAATGTTTGGATGCTTATTTTGTTGTTCTCAGTATCTAGAACATATTAGGGGCTAAGTAACCATTTGCTTAACTAAGGCATCAATATTGTTACCAATTTTAAAACTTGGACTAAACATGAAATCTTTAGTTTTGGTTAGGTCATTTTTTTACAACAAAAAAACATGTTTTACTAGGACTACTTTTAAAGTAACTATTTTTTTTTCTTTCAGGTTACTTGAAAGTAGAAAGTAAATGTTGAAAAAGCACATCATGTGCTGCTTTGATTTGGTAAACAGTATTCTTATTGACAATATTTAAATAATTTCTAATAATTTTCTCTAAGCAGTTACCTAGAAAAAAAGTTTTTCAAATAGTCAATGAATCTACTTCATTATTTAAAAAAAATTTAAAAAGGAAAAAAATAATTACAGATTATAGCATATCAGGAATTTTATCAAATTTTTTGACCAAGGAAAGAAAATTTATATCATGACTCAGTACACATATATAACAATAATATGTATACATGTATGCATATGTATATACACATACATTTACATGCTAGAAAGTAGTTTACAAAACAATACTTACCCTGATAGTTCCTATTATGTTTTAAATTTTTAAAAATATTATGTATTTCAGTTTTTTTAAAAAATAATGAGGGGCTGGGGATGTGGCTCAAGCGGTAGCGCGCTCGTCTGGAGTGCGTGCGGCCCGGGTTCGATCCTCAGCACCACATACCAACAAAGATGTTGTGTCCGCCAAATACTAATAAATAAATATTAAAAAATTCTCTCTCTCTCCCTCTATCACTCTCTCTTTAAAAAAAATAAATAAAAAATAATGAATATAAACAATTAAATTAATTATGCTATCCAATAATGAGTTACAATCAATATTTTACAAAAGTACTGTATTATAAAATCCTCCTGTTTATAGACAGCAACATGGAAGCACAACTTTTAAAATCAAATTAAATTAATACATGTGATTATTTTTTATTTATAAATCAACAACTCCTAAACCATAAAGTCCTTTTTTACCATTACTTATATATGAATAATCTTTTCAGGCAGGGATATAGACAGTGAGGGTACAAACAGAATATTGACCCTTTCTCTGTCTTTGTATTTGGTGGTAGAGAAATAACATGTAAGCAAGTAACTAATAAAATTTGTCTTATGCAAGGATAGCAGTTCATTCAAGAAACAGAGATAGAGAAAGGTGGCACCAGAGAAGTAATGATTAAATTATTGCTTCAAGTGAGTATCAGGACTCTTTTCAATTATGACAACTTGAGATGAGTTTTGAAGAATGCAAAAGACTTCATCAGTAGAGCAAAACAGAAATCAGGTAGACAAGAGGTACTGGTCACATCTTATATATAGGTAATAACAGCTTGCCAGGAAGACTGACATAACTGGGAGTGGAAAGTGTTAGCAGGAGATAGTCACCAAGCTTTGACTTGAACAAAGAATGACCAAGAGACATGAACAACCTTAATAAGCAGTGCCTGTTTTAGATGGTTATGCCAAATAGCAATGAAGTGCATGAATGAACTTGAAGGAGAGCAGGGCTGCAGAAAGTTCTGGCAAGATTATAGCAAGATTCCAAATGCCAGAAGTGAAATGAATGGAAAAAAATAGTGTTTTAGTTTTTTACAGGCCAGCAAGTTTTATATGCAAACAAAAGAAAAATCAATCCTATATTAAAATGTAAGTCAGACTATATGATCAAGTCTAATAAAAAGCTTTAGTTGCTTCAAATACATAAACTGCTGTAAGTAAAATGTACACTGATGAGTTTTATAGTTATCTTAATTGAGCTTTTAACGTCTCAGCCCATGGGTGTTAAATAAATGAAATTAATCACTAAGAGGTATATTATACAGAACAACTCCTGAATTGACTTCTTCCAAGTAATCATCTACTAAAACAAAAGTACAAAATCAAAAGATATTATGTTTATAATCTGATCTACAAATTCAGTTTTCTGTAGTTAAAGTTATATTATATTATCCACCACAGATTTTCATACTTTTTTTGGAGTGTATTTTGAGTTTTGTACAACAATTCAGTTTACTAAGATAGTCATCCCTAATTGACTTACTTTCTTATTGAATCAATGACTAGTCTTTGATTAGAAACAATGGTACACCGGTACACCATACTGCTACACATCTTCAAAGTCATATAGTAAATGGAAAAAAAAAAAAACTCAATTTGGATTTTCTCCTTATATAATACCTAATATAGAAGGTCCCTATCAAAGAAAAAACAAAACTTGAAATGATTTTGAACAGATTTTTGTAATCATATCAAGAAGTCTGTAAGACTCCTAGAATATTTTTCTGAAGTTATCAAGATAGAAAATATAGGCTGGAAATGTTCTCTATGTATTATAGGTTGTTAATAATCAACTCTGAAGTGAAGTCAAAGAAGTAGGTTAATGTGATTTTAACTAAAATGAACATAAAATAATTTACCAAAAATATATTTTAAAAAGTGTTGCTACTGGATATATAGCACATTTGAATATATTATATGATTTTATTGTGCCATGTTAAAGTTACAGAGCAATACATATTTCTGAATACTAAATACTGGCTCTTTTGCATGAGTACAATATGTCTCATTTTAATTAAGAATATTTCATTATGTAATATGCATCATAAATGTGACTATATCTATGTTTTATGAAAAACACTGTTCCTAAATAATTGTTTGGGGATTCTGTGAAAAGTTTTAGTAATTACTGTAAATAATGAGGTGGAGTTTGTTTTAAAAAGCTAAACTGTTTTAGACTTGAAGTCTGGTAACAATACTATAAAGTCATCTACAGAAATAATACTTCAGCATTTTGCAACTCTGTGTTTTACATAAATAAAAATATTCCTACTCAATCTCTACAGATTGCTACTTATGTATAGTTCCTTATGGAAATCACATCCGTGTCTCTATTAGGAAAAAAAGCTTTATTTATGCATTACAATTAATTAGTGGTATAAACGTAATATGTAAATAAATCATCCCAAATTGAAATCTACCAATCCATGCATTGATAGCATGTTTGAATGTAAAAAAGAAGCTTTACCTGCTCTCAGGTGTCCAACTACATCTGCCAGGCTACCCTTCTTTACTTTGGTGATGAAAGCACCAAGACGTCCTAAGTCAGTCATTTTTCCTCCAACAACCTGGATGATTACAAAGTTATAAGTTCTTAAGATTCATATGAAATACAACTTTATTAGTTTGAGAAAGTATTCTATAATGTTTTACAATTAAGTGTGAGAACATTAGTGAAGTACAATATCTTTTTAAGTAAAGAAACTGGCAGCATAATATTGAAAAGAAGATATTTCATTATATTTGTGATGACCATGTATCCTAAGGAAATTTGTTTACTGACTTCTTACACTAACCTAACAATAACAAGACACCAAAAATAATGTATGCATTTGGAAGACAGGTGCCATGTCTCTCTGACTTATATCAAACAGCAAGTGTTTAACATTGTTTAGGATTTTTTAAAATCTTCTAAACACATTCTTACCACTTGAATCATTTCTATGTGAAGATAATACCCCATTGTCAAATCAGATTTCAGTCTCCTTTGTGTATCTGTGGTTTAATATAGTAGGCCTACAACCATAAAGACTAGGAATTCCTACCAAGATCAGGCTACATTTTGGAAGTAATTTACCACTGTGCAAAGTGTACAGTCTAAATGCATCTGACCATGTGCTGACCTTCTCATCAGAAACAGATATTTGAGGTTACCTGACCTTCAAAGTCTGAGCTATATCACTATTGAATACCTTAATGTGGCTTTTCTGCTACATCTAAAATATATGTGAGAAACTCTAGGTTTAATTTTTCCCAATGCAGGGGCCTCAAATACACAATTAAAAGTGCATTGACTTTTTTTTTTTTGACTAGCAAATTTACTAGATATTTGTCATTCAAGTTTTCATCTGCTTTGTGACCAATACACCTTGAGGATCACTTTTCTAATACTTTTACTATGAAGTGGTACTACCTCAGCCCTATTTAAGTAGTATTTTTACTTAATGTCAAATCCTTATCCAACTAATGGAAACTTGTATATAAAAGGGTTGCTTGAAAATAAGAACACAATTAGTTGTGTTAATAGCCCACCATTTTACACTTGATACATCTGTGTCTGCTAAAACAGTTAGCCTTCTCATTTTTCTGCTTGTTTGTTCAGTCTGAATTAAAATTAGATTTTGAAAATAAAAAAGTAGGTGAGTATTACCAAAGATTGAAGTTGATCCACAGTTCTTATAAACATACCCATTAATAGAGGTAATAGAGGTGATCAGAATTATTTCACAGCAAGAGAAATTAATGCTAATAATATCATTTGAGTACATGAACTTTCTTTCTTGTTTTTCAGGATTGAGGGATCATGCATACCAGACAAATGCTATATTACTGAGCTCACTGCCAGTTGTATTAATGTACAACCTCTTGACAAATAATAGTTTTAAAGTAACATTTTTTAATATTTCTTTAAGTAACTGAAAGCAAAACCATATAATGCATATACATAAGCACACATATAATACAAGATACCTATGCAAATGTGTGCATAGACTTTTCCAGAAAGCAATAATCTTTTGTAATCTATCAGATTCTTATATCTGTTAGAGGACATTTTAATTAATTAATTTATTTTTTATTTTTTTACATGAGCTCTCTCATTATGATTATTATTATTATTTGCCTTACAATTCTTAATACACCTTTATACCAGAATTTATCATATTTCTGAATACAAGATACGCTGACACCAAATTGACATCTTCATACATGTATTTTGTATAATGATGAGGGTCTCCTTCCACCATCCATGCATGGATAGAGGACATTTTTAAAAGATATGTTTTCTTCTTTTAGTATTATCATAAATATTACTATTATTAGAAAATAATTTCCTTGTTGAAGTTTTATATTGCTACTAAATAAAAATGGTCCACATTTTATCTAAGTTTACTGCCTTCCATTCAAATCTTTTTAATGTAAAATTTATCCTTAATAACCAGAGACAAATAGTTTTCCTATGCTCTACTGCATTTTTAATACATTTGTATTATATTAACAAAAATGATTGAAAACTACTAACCTAGGAAAACTATTACACATAAGACAAGCTATATTCACTAGAGAGATTTTATTTTGAAGAAGAGAAGAATATATTTAAAGATCATTGCTGGGCATAGTGATGCTTGCCTGTAATCCCAGCTACTTGGGAGGCTGAGGCAAAGGCATCACAAGTTTGAGGCCAGCCTCAGCAACTTAGCAAGACCCTGAGCAACTTACTGAGACCTTGTCTCAAAATAAAAATTAAAAGGATTGAGGATATAGCTCATTAGTGAGGCAAAACTAAGTCCAATTCTCAATACAAAAAAAAAAAGAAAAAAATCATTGTCAGAAGTTTTGCTGATTGCAGTCTGTACTGTAATTCACCCTTTAAGAAATATTCTAAACCAGCATACTTACTTTCAGACCCAGTAATGCACCCGATTCTTTGGGCATGGTTGTTCTTTTGTTAAGAATAACACGTCCAATTAATCGGTCCCCCTCTTTGGATGGCTGCCACGTTACCGGATGCTGTTAAATGCAAAATTTAAAAAGTAAACAACTTTTTTTTCTATAGACACATGTTACCATGATGTGATTTCCTCAGTTAAAAGATACCCTAGAGGGAATTCTTTATTCTTATGGACTTCATCCTTGGCTTACAATATTTTTCACTTAGACTTACTGTTTATTTACAAAAGACACTTATACTCAATGATTCTGAAAGTACTTAGCAACTAAATATATCTCTTAATCAATATTTAAAAGCAATTAATTTATTTTAAAATGTCTGCTTAAATGAAGAAATTTTTTTTGTTATTAATGCTGATACTATCCTTAATCAAATACAGTGTCCATTCTTAAATCATTAGAATGGTTCATCTTATAAATTTAACTTCACAATGGTGCAAAAGTGTTACATATTTGGTAGAAACTATACTTTGAATTTTGATTTATTTTAGGATTAGTGATATAATATTGTCCTCTGTTGAGATGATAAGCAAGAGCAGTGAGCTTAGCTCTCAGGCAGCCATAGGATCACAAGGGTAAACAACTAATACTCTATAGTGTACTGTTGCTAAAAGAAGATGTACGATGGTAGTCATGATTTAATAATTTTTTTACTTAATTTACAATTTGCTATAATTATTCAGTATCAACTAATTTTTTCTTCAAAACTGCAATGCCAAATGAAATTAACATTTGCGATCATAGAACATATAATGGTGCAGGACTCATTTTCACCAGTATATATGAGATCATGGATAAAGTATAAATAGTCCTTGAATTGCAAACACTCAATTACCAGAAAACTTACCGAACTAATAGGTGATGTTTCCCGGCTGTGCCACGTGGCAGGATCCAACCAGTAATAATCCAAGTCACCTGCACAGCAGGAAAAAAACAAAATTGTGATAATGTTAAAGTGGAGAATGCATCACTCTAAGTATTACCTCTTCAATCTATAAAGTGTTAAGAATATTGTAATCTTGAGTTTACGCATCCCAGAATGATACATGTGTTGTGAAAAGTTGGGACTAGAATCACTGGAATAAATATGTTCTACAAACATACTTCCTGAAATAGAAGGGCTGCTCCCACCCCCCACCCTCACTGCCCCCAAATAAGCCTAGTAACACTGACACATAAACATACAGGGAAGAACAGGGTTAATGTGCTTTTCCAACACTCAAAGCTTTCCATTCCAAGTCACATCTTGCCATCTAGTGGTGACGCCTAAAATTACATTTATTGAACTGAATATTAAAATTTGTCTCCCTTTCTACACTTCTGAACTATAACATATTTTTCAAAAAATAATTCTTTTATCCCTACCTTTCCTCATATACTGAAAAATATGACATATGCTTATTAGTTATTATTAAATGTCAAGAAAAACGGTAAAAGAATGCAAATGACACAGTACCCACCAATTTTAATAAAACCACAAAGTAAGCATTTGAGAGAAAAATTAAGGGGCCATGTTTTCAATATATGAATGAAAAAAAAAGGCAATAAAAAGTGGGCCACCTATATGAGAACATGTATTAGGAAATCAGGGGAATAAATGAACTTTTATATTTTAAGTATCAGATTAATTCAATAAAATTTTTTTTCCATGGATCTCCAAAGAAACAAGTAAGTCAGCTGACACTGAGATACAAAGCTAGCTAACTTGGGGAAATATGACTGACCAAGACTGAACAGGCCATAACTAAATAATTTTTCATAGATGATAGGCAATGAAAGGTACAGCATGCAAAAGGAAAGAAATTTTTTAGATGTATAAAATCTACAGGCAGAAAAATCCATACTCTTCAATTTATTAGTAGTTGCTTTTCTTTTCCTTTTATAAATCTTAGAAAGGCTGAAGGCAAATGTTATCGATACTAAATACTAAAATATTACACAAATATTCATGTGAATAATAGTAGTTTACTCTATGTAGGGGTTAGCATTTGAAATTGCACTAAAAATCATTCTATTAAAATTGCTTCATATGGAATATGTATGTTTTTCAAATTCACATCCTTAATATGTATACATGGCTTAATATCAGAGAGTATTTCTACTGGACCACTTCAGTTAATGGAGTGTAAGGAAGATGCAAAAGGAAGATATTTCTCCTTGGTATTTATTTGCTGTTTGTAAAATTTTATGCAATTACTCTTTTTTTAAAGTACACATATAGGGGCTGGGGATGTGGCTCAAGTGGTAGCGCGCTCGCCTAGCATGCGTGCGGCCCGGGTTCGATCCTCAGCAGCACCATATACCAACAAAGATGTTGTGTCCACCGAGAACTAAAAAATAAATAAATGTTAAAATTCTCTCTCTCTCTCTGTCCCCCCCTCTCTCTCACTCTCTCTTTAAAAAAAAAAAAATAAAATACACATATATTATTTTTTTATTGGTTGTTCAAAACATTACAAAGCTCATGACATATCATATTTCATACATTAGATTCAAGTGGGTTATGAACTCCCATTTTTACCCCAAATACAGATTGCAGAATCATATCAGTTACACATCCACATTTTTACATAATGCCCTATTAGTAACTGTTGTATTCTGCTATCTTTCCTATCCTCTACTTCTTAAAGTAGTTTTTTCATTAGTTCATCTCGAAAAAACTACAGTGTTAAAATTGAAATTATATTAATACAAATATTACTGTTCAAAAGGTAATTACTGCAATTTTTACAAGTTTCTGCCTAAAATTTCACATACTTAGTAAAAAGGCCTGATGATATCTTAAATGTTGATTCATTTCTAAACAGTGATAAAGTAATTGAACCACTGAGATGTTGGTGGAAAGGTGATTCAATTTCCCTGAAGAAAAAAAATACTAATGAAATTGAAAGGTGCTTTAAGAAGTCTTTGAAGCTAAAATAATAACAAAAATCACCATATATTTTTCAAGCAAACAATGGTTCTTCATATCCCTCAAAAATTTTTCTTAAGCTTTAAAAACTACACTTCTTGGAATTTTTCTCTGGCTCATGCCCCCATGCCTTATATGGTGATTCAGCTCTGTTTTATTTACATTGTCCTAAATAGATACAGACAAATATTTGCTGTGCAAAAAGTGTTCTTCATAGGCAAAGAACCAAAAGCTGATGTTTCTGATAAAATTCAGCCATGCTATTTTGCACACCTTATTATGAAAGCACAGATACTATTATCATCTAGGAGCTTTTCAGGGACTCACCTTGAATGAAGAGTCTCATCAAATTGGTTAGAAAGAAGGAAGGAAGGAAGGGAGGGAGTGCGGGAGGGAGGGAGAGACAGACATATGAGTATATCTACATACAAGTATCTATACAGTTTGCCAGGAGATTCTAATGTGTATCCAGCACTAGAACTTACACTATTCTGTAATATGAATGCTACAGAGTTTGCAGCTATTTATTTATTTTTTGCCTATTTTGGCCATATATAATAGTGTAAACATCAATTAAATATTGATAACAAATGTAAATGTATAAAGTTAAATGGGAGACAAGAAAAAAAAAAGAATAGCATTACCTTAGATTGGTAGAGAGAAGTTATGGGAGGGGAAGGGAGGGGTTGGGGGGGATAGGAAGAATAGTAGAATGATATAGACATTATTCTTACTGTGTGTATATATATGACTGCATGACCAATATGATTTGCTGCAGTCTGGCTGCAGCAGAATAGCTGGGGGGTGACGAATAACTTCTGTAGATTGATACAGCAGGAGAGGGAGCCGTTTATTGTAGGACAACAGAGCTATTTATACATTCCACACAGCTTATCTTAATTAGAATAAACTAGATACATCAGTCAACCAATAAGGAATCTCCACACTTAATGGCTCACTTTTGTTACTTCACAAACCACTCCCTCTGGCATTTTGCCAGGCACCATCCAGACTTGTTTACGAACTCTAACATTTCTCTGGCAAAATACAAGGTGTTATTTTGACTTGTTTACAGACCTTAACAATGATTCTGCAACCTGTACACTCAGAAAAATGAGAAATTATATCCCATCTGATTCAAATGTATGATATGTCAAGATCATTGTACTGTCATGTGTAACTAATTAAAATAAATAAAAATTTAAAAAAAAATAAAGTTCAATATTTAGTATACAATTTATACCTCTTAATATTGTGATATTTTATTAATTTTGTCACTTATTAAATAATATTGTTTAAAAATCTTACAAAAATTACATGTTACATATTAAAATCTAAATATGTTGTTTTATATTATGTTTCTTCTAACCATATAATTACTGTTTGAAAGACAATGAACTTTTAATTTCTCTAATTTGTCTTCACAATTTACATTTTCCTATTATTAATGGTATAAGCAGCACCCAACAAAACCTTCTCCTAAAATATTCATAATCAAATATTTCATTAATACAAACCATTTCCTTGATTATTTTTCTAATAGATGATTAATGATATTGACTTCTAGTTGGCATAACTTCAAAATGATAAATTCATGGTATTTGCTTATGGAATCAATACAAAAACATCTTGGCTCTAATATTCAATATAATTCTAAAGAAACTAATTTGCTATTATCATTAATCCAGAATCAGGAAGCATATAAGTCGGCTGTGTCTACTGAAATAGTTCAACTTTATAATTAGCCATGTTCAAAGAAGCATTATAATTTTGAGCTTATTTTTGTGAGGAATTTTAAAACAGTTTTGTTCCCTGCCCCTGTATAAAAAGCAGGCTAATTAAATCTGGTTAGCGTAGATCTTTCATTCTACAAATTTCAATGCACCATGCATTTTCAATGCACAAATCTATTTTCAATGCAAAAGTAAAATAAATCACTTGTCAGCTAATGCACACAAGTGTTCTGTAAAGAGAACTATTTTTTCCTAAACCCAGGTCACTATGATTAGACTGTTTAGCAATGCATAAACCTGGATCTTTATGATTTAAAATTTCTATTTTTTGGTATCTTGTGTCAAAGCACAGTGAATTTCAATATGACCAACTGAACCAAAATACCTTCCAAACAACACAGGTGCTTGGTGGAACATGTATGTTAAAACTGTATGCAAACCATGACTCTAATTTCACATATTAAATACTTAAAAATTTACCTGACATATATACTTTCTCAAGTGGAGCATATACTTAATATACATACAGCAAAGGAAAAGTTACTACACCAAATTAGCACACTGCTTAAAGTATTAGAAAAGTCAATCTTCTGGCCCGTCTCCAGAAGAAATACGCAGCATATTTTTAACATCATTATAATGAATTATGATAAAAACCAGAATGCATATCTATTCTAATATCACTCAGTAACCCATCCAATTCCTAATTTATAACCATAATTGAGTTCCTGGTCATCTAAAAATAAATTGTTCTTCCTACATAAAATGGGTTGTTGTCATTAAAAAAAAAAAAGAAAGTATATTTTACAGACCAAAAATCAGAACTACACTTACCATTTATTTCCTAAACCTATTAAAAATTTTTCCTTTTACTTGTTTTTTAGTCCTTTATCATAGGATATGTGTTGGGATTAAGTACAATTAGATGAATACTACACTAACTTTAATACAGAACAGTACATACACAAATAAAAGTGCAGAACAAAAATATGGTTATTGAATGTTTGCATGTAATGCATACACAAAAGTTATCTTAGGTTTTGAAGTTTGATCAAGTATTTTCAACACCAAGTCCCATGGCCAGCAGATATGATTAAATAACATTTGTCTATATTGCAATAAGTATGTGTATGTAAATTAATCTGAATAATTGACAAGAACGTTTATTTCAGTAACAGACATTTCACAGACATGAATTAAACTGAGAAATGAGTTAAAATCTTAACTCTGGATTAATATATGAAAATATCACATGAAATGATGTCCTCATT